AACCCCTCTAAAACCAGCCTGGTCCACCAGTTGAATATTAAATATTAATTATAAATCATAATTAAAAAAAATAAATAAATCCCTCTTAATTGCGTTTGACTTTAAATGTAAATGTTGCTACAACCCTGCTGAAAAATCCAGCTTAAACCAGCCTAGGCTGGTTTAAGCTGGATTTTTCAGCAGGGTCTTGTTAAACATGCTTACAAAGGCTTGTGAAGGAAAGTGTTTGTGTGATGCAGCCATAATTAAACACTGAAAGACAGCATAAAATGGCAAAAGGGAATATAAGTAGGGTCCGAATTAGGGGGGGGGGCGTATGTTGACTCCACTAATCAACACTTGATACCTTCTGAAGTATGTCAAAACAAGTAGTTTGGGGTGTCAGCTAATAGTGATAATTAGTTTTCTCTGATCTGTATCTTCAATAATAGAACGAATGATTAAAATAATAGATCAAATAAATATACATTCGCCCACCCCTATAACGGTTCATACCATTGTGAAGGCATATTCGCGCCAAAATCAGTTTAAGTGAGGTAAAAACCCAAACCGGCAGATATACAGCACCGATGGACAGCGTGAGTGTTTAAAAGACATTTCTCTTGTAAAATAGGTGTTTGTATCTAAAAGTAGTCAAATTAGGAGCGTAGTTTGTATAGTTTGACCTAAAACAACGTCTGAAGTAATCAGAGGTTTTTGTCTGTAGATCAGAATACAGTAAACATCCCTCAAAGACTGAAAATCTAAATATGTTTTATTAATAAATTAGAGGTAATTAAAATAGATACATAAATGTGACTCACTAAAGCATGTATCATTCGCTATCTGATTATAACAACGTATGCGTAAAATGTAAATGAACAGATAATGTGAAATCTTCATACACCACACGGTGGCGCCACAACACTGACACACAACTGAATAACACAACAGCTTATTCTGCCTCAGCATTCAATGACAGACAGCACAAACAATCTTTTAAAGACACTTCTTTTTTATTTAAGCATTAGTTGTTTTTTTTTTATTATTCCTGTGTGTCTTTGTCTCTTGTTTTCAGCATAACAGCAATGGTTGACACATTGATCTTGAAAAATATCACTCCTACTATATTTATATATATATATTTATTTTAATATATTTTACTATATCCCTCATATACAGCATATTTTCAAATATCAAATATTCAGGCAGGTTAATAGTAATGTAGTGAGATAGAAAAAATAGAGTCACATGCAGTCATTTCTTCTCTTGTTTGTTTGTTTTGCTGACCTCTGTATATTTACACTCAGACTCACCAGGAGCGCATCTGAGTTGAGACAGAAGCTTGTGCTGTGAATGAGGGAATTTGTCAAGTAAAGCAGTGGACAGATTTGTCGAGCAAAAATATAACTGGAGGAAAAACCCGCTTTGGACTGGGGTGAAGTATGACAGGTTTGTTTTACTGATTCTTGAGCATTGGCATAAAACAGGCTACATTATTGGAGAAAAAAAAAAACAACACCGACAGATATAATGTACTGATCAAATACTTTCATAAATATTGACAGTAGTTTTGTTTAGGAATGAATACAGGATGGAAATTGCCACTTTCATAAATTTGGGTTAAAGACAAAAAGGGGTTTTAACCATTTAACCAGCTATATAGCTTTGAATATATATAT